AACCATCAGAAAAGGAAAGAGGAAGACAGCAAAGATGACTGTCCATCTCTGAGAGTCCGATGCAGCATCTCTGCTAGGTCTTCCTTTAAAGTGGTTACAGATAAAGCAGTAACTACAATAAAGAATGAATAAAACTGGCAGAGCTATGGAAGATAGTACCACATAATGACCGGAATCTGTGACTGAAGTTACCATTTCTAAGGGGAAATCTCACTGATATTAAATGTACAAAAGCATTAAAGGTCACATATTGGATAATAGTAAGTATAGGCGCCAGTAGTAACCATTGTACTTGTTAAAGGGGAAAAAAGCTAGCTTTACTGAAAGGACTATGAGAAAACATCTGCTGGCTATATCAAATATAATAAAATTAGGGTCTTTCCAACAAAAAAGACATTCGCAATGCTGAAAAGCAGCAAAATAGCACCTAAGTTTCCAAAATATTTCCCAGTGCCATAATGCTTCTCATCTGCTAAGTAGTATAAATTATTGGATGAAACTATAACATTCACCAAAGTAGAAGTATGAGCACATACTGATCAACAAGATACTCCTTTTTTAGGCAAAAGTAGACACTAGCTTCTTCTGAAAGTATACTATATTGCATAAATGTATATATATAACAGTATTCTTAGTGTTCTGTCTGTTTAGGATGGAAATTACTGTGAGACACTGAACACCTCCTAGTGAGAAATGCTCAGTTTGTCATTTACCTGGTTGTCTGGCAAGGCAGCCTCAGCTGGTACCACCACACAGATGGTGGTGCTTTCATCTTACTCTGGTTACCTAATATGACAGGATCCGATGGCAACACTCTCCAGTGAAACCAGCACAAGAAATGAACTACCAACAGGGCAATGGACCACTATATATTATTATAGATGTTAATATTCAATCTGTACTGTGGATCAAAATAGATGCCATCATGAATATACTTAGCTGGGTATATGATCGGGCCTAACACTGGCCTGAGCAAGGTGGTACCCTGGTATCAAGGAGTGAGACAGATTTAATGAATTTATATATAATCATAAGGCAAGTTCTTGATGCAGTTGAAAATTATTCTTCTCTCTCAGTTGCTTTCCATTAATTTGTCAATACTCTGTACTTTTTATCCCTATTAGTCCATATAAAAATCAATATGAATTTTGTCACTTAAAAACTGAGGATACCAATTCCTTTACATTTACTGTACCATGTCACTGTGAAACTAGCATCTTTTTTTTTTTTTTTTTTGAATAGAAATCCTCAGCTGTACTTATTGCTTAGCCTCTTTCAGGGTCTTACTGTAGCAACTGCATTTCATCTCACAGCAGCAACCTGGACTGCCCCTTGTAAGTTTTCAGAGCTGGAAGGCAGGATTTTGGCTCTCACATTTTGTATAACATACAAATTGTTATGCATTATTTGTATCAATAGGAATGTATATATCACATCAATAGGCTACCTTCCTCTTTTAAAACAGAGGCTGAGGATATGCTTTTCCAGATAATTTATTTTAGAAAGAGAATCCTATGAGTGCTTTATGACTTGCTGCCAAGCATATTAGATACTTGTATTTGAATCCAGATGAACCTGCAGTACTTAACTGAATTTGGTAAGCATAAGTACATGAAATCCAATACTGATAATAATTTATGAAGGTAAGAATACTGATTCCTATAATATTGCTAACTTAGTTTATGATAACATAATTAGTTACACTAATAACACTGCTTAGGCACAGTCTTGCTAATTATGATATTATAAATATTAATGATATCGAGCTTTTGTATTTGATTGCCTCTAGTAGACTCATTTATCATGGTATTTCCTTTTACTCACATTGTATTACTTTTTTTCTGTCTCTTTTTATGTTTAGTCTTGGGCACACAGTTACCCTGAGCTTTGGCCTAAAATGCATTCCTACCTTAACAATGGCGCAGCCTGGTTAACTTCGTATTTTATCATCTAGTAGCAATGATCCAGTGATATAATTCCATCTTAAGGGCAATCAAACACACAATTAGTTATATTCTGTATGTCTCATTCCTTTTAAATATCTAACAGAGTCAGTAGACTACATTACACAGGGCTTTGTTTTTCATGCAACCTGTTTCAAGTTAAGATTCCTTTGAATTATTAAATGCTTCCTTAAAGCATCTTTTCACACTACCTTTTTAAAGTTAATTATTGATGTAGTGACAAGCTGAAGAGATTAAGATTTTTTTTCTCATTCAAAGAACATTGGAAACATTTTACAGTGGTTGTCTGTGTGGCAAAACACAAGTGTAATACAGACAGAACACTAAATGTAGCTTTAAGGAAGAATTGCTAAAAACATCTGTTATGTGAGCTGTAAATGCCATGTTTATTTCTACAGGTGCTAAAGGAAAGAAGCTGGGCTATAACCCTTTGAGCCTGGCTTAACTGCTTAACATAAGTAGATGAAAATGAAACTGGTTATATCTTATTTTATTTTTAAGCCGTGCATCATTCAGAGCTTTAGGAATGGGATTGTCTTTTCACCTGGAAGATAACGCTATAATTTTCAGAGCTCCACCGAGAACAACAACAATACAGGAGTTCCTAATCTCTTACTAAAACCAACTCTAGTCATCAACAATGATAAGCAGAGATTTGGAGGCATCTGACAGGCCAAATCCTATTCTTTTGTAATTCTCTACCTTTTACAACACTTTCAACAGTGTTATATCAGATTTTTAGAAGGATAATCAATAGGCAAGATGTATAAGTGAAATCAGTCTTCAAAGTGATCCCCTCTAGTAACTAGAAACAAAAGCTGGGGCTCCCCGCTGTGCAGATATTTTGCTTAGAGCAGCAGGCAGCAGGGCAGCAGCTGGAAGCCAGCTACATCTCCCTGCTCCTTGGTGTGGATCAGCAGGTGCCCTGGTGCAGACACGAACAGTGCTGGGGCTGCTGGCATCTTCTGCATCTGGCAAAAACTTCCAAAGAGCTTGTGTGGTAGGGAACTTCGGGAGCACAGCGGACAGATGGTTCAGGGATTACCACTTTAGAGACACCAGTGCTTCACTGCAGATGTCCTACATTTAAATAAGATGAGCAAATATAGCAAATTATTCAGTGTCACTGTTCCTCATCTGTAATACCCCTGCTTCACAGAGGGCTTTGGGAGCCAACATACATGAAAGACCATGAGATGTTCAGATGCGATGATCTTAGGACCATTCCTACCTGAGCCAGTGTTCCAACTAACAGCTCCCCTGTGCCAAAAGCTGTCTCAGCTGGTCAGATCTAGTGCTAAGAGGTTTTTTTATATCTCCAGAATGTTGTATCATACATAGCTAGATGCTCATCCCAGCACAATATTAATATCAATGTGAATCAACACAAGTTTCATTAAAACAAGCAATATCAGAACTTATTGCATTTGTACATATGCATAATTATTTTACATAATGCACTCTTTTTAAAGACATGTCACAATAAAGTGGAGAGCTCATATGTATAGTAAAAAGGTAATTCGATATCAAGCAATTGCTAGTCTGTCTTCTTAAGATGCCCTCAGACACTTGTTAATACCTAGAAGAAAAAAGACTTGGTGATTAATTTTGATAACTACAGAGCTTAACCAAGGTAATTAGGAGTAACTACACACCACAGTTATGCAGCCTATGTCAAAGCCATAAGACATACAGTCATTACACAGGGAGAACAATGAAACAACATACCTTTCCCATCAGATCAGCAATTCTAGGTACTGGTTTTCCTTTCTGATGGCAGATGGTAGCAGGACTCTGTCCATTCCAGTCTTCAAGTTCCTCAATACTTTTCAGGTAGAGGAGGGCTCTCAGTCCAGTACAGTAGTCATCAATAACAGTGAAATCTTGATTCTGGATTGCACTGCACACCTGTAAAATCAAGTTCAGTTGTCAGCAGCATTCTGGCAGGGGAGCACATGGAGTTAGTAAGCTTTTTAGGTCACTGATCTCCAGCTGAACTTCCCTGCAGGGTTACTAAGAAAGAACTATAAGAATTCAAGATGCTAATTGGCTGCTTGACCCGATGTCATGTCAGCCCTCAGTGAAGTTCAGAAAAATATGGGCTGAGTAACAGCAGTTCCACCTAGGCTTTCGAATCATGAGGACCATACAAAAGCAAACCTGTAAGCTCAGCCTCAAGCGTGCTGACCTCGGTGTGCCTTCCTGGGCCCAGGTGCCAAGTGTAACACATTTGCTGGTGGCAAACCAACAGCCATGCTCAGACAATCACCTTCATGCAGACACTTGCTATTTCCATGTGTGCTCTGTTAGGGTTAGCACTGGTTTATCCAACTGGGCCCTAGTCAAGCAAATCTCAGAATGGTTGAGGTTGGAAGGGACCTCTGTAGATCAGCTAGTCCAACCCCCCTGCTCAAGCAGGGTCATCTAGAGCACGTTGCCCAGGACCCTGCTCAGGCAGCTCTTCCTCCAAGTATGGAGGAACCACAATTTCTCTCAGTAACCTATTTCAGTGTTTCATTATACTGAAAAAAAAAAAAAAGCTCTTACATTAAATGTGATTTCTTGCATTTCACTTTGTGCTCATAGTCTCTTCCCTGTCACTGGACACCACTGAGCAGGGGTGAGCACCGCTGTGTGTGGAACAGCAGTGACCCTCTCCTGGCAATTGCCATGAGCTGCTCAGGGACAGCGAGAGGCCAGGCTGCTGTGAGCACAGCGAGCAGCACCGCTTCACAGCGGCACAGAGCTGCGAGCCCCACTCTGCAGAGCCTACCTCACAGCACAGACCATCCCAGCCTCCAGTCCTGCTTTTACTAGGCAACCTTGGGGACCTTGGTCATATATAAACCCCGGCACGTCCCCAAACAACTGTCAACATGTGAACAAACAATCTCACTCAGCTCTGAACCCTTCTCGTTAGGCAACCCCTAGTCAACCACCAGTAAATAGGTGCAGGGTTCGTTGAGTACCAATAATTGTTAGTCCTGATTTGCCAGTGCTTTCAGCTTCTGATACAGCTTTTATTCCAAAACAGTCACGCTCCTTATGATACATTTACGCACACACACATCACGAAGACAGGAACAAAAGAGCTATTTCAGAACAAAATATGTGCATGTGCACAAACATAGACAAACTTCTTGGACATGAAAACGCACCTCATAAATCATAATTGGTATCAGCACTTAAAAATAATTGTTTTGCCCATTTCGGAAATGATAACACAAAGCTCAGTTTTAAAGACAGTTTTAAAGACAGGTACACTTTACTTTGTAAAATACCATACACTACACCTGTACAAAGGAAAACCAAGGACTAACTACAAAATACATAAAAACATTTTCTCTGCAACATTTACATAACACTGTTTCTCTGCAGAAGCAGTGTGGGCATTAATTAGGTCTGCTAGGCTTTCCATAGACTTCAAGACTTTTTTTTCAAAAGAATTATAGAGACGTTCAGAGTAATTTCCTTTATAGGTTATTTAACTACAAATCTCAATTGACACTTATTTAAAACCTCTTTGTTCATAAAGGCATTCTCTTTTTTTATTAGCATATAGGTAAAACTTTCTAACTACTCTTAAAATATATATATAAAACCTGTAAAACCACAGTTAAAATCCGTATCATGTCACTTGAAACAAGTTCAGGTGCTGTTGTCAAAATCACAGAATATTTTGACAGGATGTATACACATGAGATACACTGGAGGATACCTGTAATAACCTTATAAATAAAGAGGCTTTTACTGTTTTCCATCTGCAGTGTTATGAACTGCAATAATACAAAACTGTGCACATCACACACAACATCACACTAAGGCACCCAGGGATCAAATCCCAGCTCTGTAAGTATTTCACTCCTTGGTTTCCCTGGGAACTCAGGGAACTCCAGAACTAAAGGTAAAATGCATTTTTTTTAACAATGTAAAATGATTGCATTAAAGACAAACACTAATACTATTGGAAACGGAAGAACCTAGAAACGGAATTAGCAAGTGTTTAAAGGTGATTCTCCTCTTCTGCAGGAGCCACACAACTACGGTGCCCAGGGTTGCAGTAATTACCTACAAGCACGACTTTCACCGCAAAAACCAGGTGCTCATTTTCACAGGTCTTAGAGCAGAAGAGATTCAACCATAGAAAGCCACAGAACCAGTTCTGCCATGTTTCCAGCAAATCTGAAAGCCTACTGAACTTAGAAGCATCACGTCTGGCACATGTCAGATGGCTACATTTGGGTTGTAGCTCTACAGCATCTTCCACAAATCAGTGCAACAGGTTTTGCTGCCCTTTAGATGGGGCTGAACAAAGTCAAGGCATATGGTCCTTGTGTTCCATCACAAGGAGGGAGCTCCTAACATCGCACCTGGCTGCCTCTGCACCACCAGTTTGAATGGCACCATGCTCTCTTTCAGCCCCAGAGCAGGGAAGAACAACAGAGCAGGTGAGGGCCAAACTCCCTCTCCTGGGAGGAGCGCAGAGGAACTGAGCCAACGTGTCCCCACGTCACCACTGCCCTCCCTGCCCGCCGCCCTGGGAACAGACCTGCTTCCCACCCTTACAAAGCTGCATGTTCAATACCGCCTGTCGCTCTCAGCAAAGGAAGAACAGTCCAGGTGTGGATTTAAAATTAAAAATTTAAGATTTAAAAGGGAAGAACCATTGATTGCTACTTCCTAGCATTTAATGTCTCATTAAAGCACCTCAGCAGAAGATAACTGTGAGCAGGGCACTACATTAGCAGCTGTTGACGTTGTCCTGCAGCCCCCGGGGAAGCAGCACCAACTCGGCTGAGGCATCATGCTTTACAGGTCCAACACTGAAACCTGCTTCCCTTGTGACACCAAAATGAAAGCCTAAGCCTGAGTGCAACTCGTAACTAAGAGTATAGAAAGGTTGCACTGGATCAGAGCAGAAGTCTGTGCCACCAGAAGCTGCTTATGGAAGAGCATCAGAGCAGAGCAGAGCCCGTCTGATACCTTGGTGCTGTGGCCAGCAGCGGTGCTGGAGACAGTGCCTGTTTAATATCCCCTGCGCTGACATAATCTAGGTGAATCAATTACATCAGTGAATTAGCAGTCAGCAGGGCACTGACCCAAGCTTGCACCTGCAACGTTTAAGCAGAAAATAGCGTTTCCTTCACTGGAAGATGAAAAACAGGCACTGTGAGCAGCCTATGGGACACACAGTGAGGTCAAGACAAGAATGAAGTTGCCAACTGTCCACCAGGTTTGAATTTGCCTCTAGTTTTGAACTAGAACTTGGGCTAGAAGAGAATGACTATTTTTCTCTTGCTTACAAAATTAACATTATTCACATTTTGCTTCTGTTAGGGACAGAATATTGCACAAGCTTGACTTTACTGCACTGCCAGACTACGCTACTGCCTTGGCAGTGTAACTGGTCCAATTCCATTTTAACATCCCATCTCCCCCTCTTCCAGCATATCCAGATTCCTTTCTTCACTTCTGCAACTGCCCCTCACATGTCACAAGAGACAAACAGGCCAGCACGTTACACACAATCAACAACATCACACTCTTAATACTCTGAGATATAAAACCGTTCCTCATAACTTAAAATTTTAATGTTTACGGATGTGTCTGAGGTCCTAAAAGACCCAGTGCCTGCTTTGCTGCTGGTAAATCAAACATACACCATATAAGCTCGCTAGAGCCTGGGGATGTGAAATGAATCACGGGCTTAAGCTCTAAGTAAAATTGCTCTGCAACATGCAGCAACAGGAGAAGCACTATTCAAAGGTCTTTGCTGCTGTCTTGCATAAGAAATGATCTATCTACTCTGTTGCTAAATAAACATAAAAACTCAGGCTGGCTTTGTTAAAGGATCTAGAGCCATTGCAAATCTCACTGGAGGAACTGAAGTAAATTGTCAGCACATTATTATTGTATAAAAAGGAATATTTACCAGTTATATAAATGTTTTCAATCATTCATATCCACCTGAAACTTTTTAATTTACATATTACAAAGAAAAAACTTACGAGTGACATGTATTGCCAATGTCAGTTATAAAATACTGCAGATGCCTTTGCTTTTAGTTGAATCATCACGCAACAACCACGCCGACTGAGCTGCAACGAAGCCTTCCTGAGACAATGCCAGTCTCAGAGCCAGTCTCAGAGCGCTCTGCCCATGGAAGAATCTTCCCCCACTCAGGCCTCCAGGAGCAGCAGGGGAAGTGCTGGCTCACTGCATCACTTCTGGTTCTCTCGCTACAGGAACGGTGGTGGAACCTGTCCCAGCTCCAGCCTATCCTGCATGGATGACCTGTGCTGTGCACACACAACCCTGAGGCTGGAAAAGCCTGAGGCTCTTCCAGCTAACTGGATCACTCCCTGAGCAATTTCCATTCAATGCTGGCCCTGCATCTTCCCTTTGGAATCTCTGCAGGACTCTGTAGAAGAGAGAACAGTAGACTGAAATGCTACAAAGCAGAAAACATACATCCTCCTTCGGTGCCTCTCCGCTCTCTCTAACCCCTGGGCCTTCAGGTTTTACCTTCTCTCTATGATGCCTAGAACTGCCTGGTAAAATCCCAGCTGGAAAGGTAATGGTAGAGGACAAGGTGCCCCAAACACACACCAGTCCCTACCTGCATCCTTCCTATTGCCTCAGCACAAGGGACTTGAAGCAGATTGAGACATATTCCTATGAGCTATGTACTCCTCCTGTGCTACATTCCCCACGCAAGAGAGAGCTGTCTATAACACAGCTAGTGCTCACACTACTGGAGCTAACGGCTGGAGCGGGTCAAAGAGTCCAGCCTGCTCCGTTGGTAGCACGTTGCTCTCCAGCTCTTGGCAGGGTAATTAGATCTAGGAGGACGCGGCTGCTGCAGGGCCTGGCAGCAGTTGCCCGTCTGTCCTCAGTCACAAATCACT